TTATGCTTTGCCCTTATGGCTCTGACATGCTTTGACACATAAGGATATCCCCCATCAAGATGCTTATGTTTATTTTGTGGGCTTCATATGTCGATGAACCGCTACCCTTATGGGATGTGAGAGACTCACTATCTACCTAATGACTTAGCGAGAGCTTCGAAGCATATAGGCATTCCTACATGGAATAACTTTCCTTTGTTGACCTATTTTCCCAAGTCTTTCATAATATAAGTGAAACCCCTTTTTGGGCACCTAGGTGCCAATGCTCAAACTAGCAGACAAAGAGACTAGTGCCTAGGCTCCAACAACTACTGGTTAGTTTTCAACAGTTACTCCCACACAACTTGGGGTGTTATGCAGACGGTATAAGGGCATACTTATAGAGTTTTAACAAGTAGAACATTGTTGAAGTCCAAGGGGAACACTTCTGAAGTCTAGGGGAGAATCTATGTGAAGTCAAATGTGAGATTCTAAGTGATTTTTGCTTTTATTTGGAGAATTTTGGTGAGATTAGTGAGTTTTATTGAAGGGAAGACATTCAGTACTGCAATAAGAATTGGGAGATACTTTTAGGGAGGCATTCTCAACACTTTTTCAAGGAAAAAAACTAAGTATTGTGCACTCTCTTTTTTTGTAATTGTTTGTAAACAAAATCTAGTGGGTTTGTTTTATTTCAAAGATGTGTTCTGGTGTTCTCTCCATGCATTGTGAGTAGTCATTTTACTTTTTCTCTTGTGGTGAATAAGTAGGTCGTGCAGGAATATTAGAATGCTTTTAAAATTGGTTTTCAATATTCATTGTGATGAGTATTCTTCAAAGCTTTACTTACTTTTCATTCTAGCCAAATGAGAAATTAAGGTGTTGCGATCCATAATGACTCGAGAGAGCTATGGAAGAACGATTACAGTATTTACGTTGAACTATAAGGCATGAAGCAAAAGTAAATTATAGGGAGATGCAAATAGATAGGAAAATAATCTAGAATGAGTTCAAATTGGGGTTTAAAGAATTAAAACCACTTTAACCAATCCTCTTTATGCACTCGAGAGAGGGTAAAGAAGAGAGTTGCTCCTATTTGTCACTAGCTATGGTTACAATTAAAAGTAATTATTTTCCTACACGCCACTTATACCATTACAAGGGAGGGTACTTTTATAACTTGATTATCACCAATTCAAATATATTTTGTAGAATTTCTGTAGGACTAAACCTTTAAGAGTAGTTTGTAATTTAGTAGGATTAGTTAGCACAACTTAAGAACCAGCTTTACTTCCAAGCTAAGACCGATTTTAGTAGGCTAGAATTTCTCTTAAGTCTAACTGCCTGACTTCATGTGGGATCGATATTTCATACTCAAAATCTGATATTACTGATACAACATGTACACTTGTGCGAGACCTTTGCACTTAGAATTATGGCATGTGAAGTTTTTGGCGCTGCTGCAGAGCGTATCATCTGGTCCTCCAGCAACTTCATGTATTTTAAATAAAATGAAATGTTCTAAAAAAGTTTTGGAGTTTCCTCCAGAACTCAAATAACATCCGATGTAGGTTGCTTGTGAAGTCCCCGGGTCACTGGTGCATGAAACCACCAGGTTTGTTATTTGACTTCTAATGAAAGTAGCTCTTTTTTTTCTCCACCCTAGGATGCTTTGTCTTGTGTGTGGACTCCACTTCATTTTGGGTTGGGCTCTGGTATTCATGGAAGTGAGTTGCTTGCTCTCAGGTAAGCTTGCAAACCCTTGCTCACTAGGGTCCAAGCATTTGTCCCCATTGTCACTACCCCACCAAACATATGATCCAACTTTTTTTCCAGATCAGAGTCAATTCCACTGAATTTAAATTTCTTGGTGGCCAACACTACTTGTAATATAAGGACAAGTGGTTTTTTTTGTACAGTTCAGGGAGAGAAAGTGATAAAAAAAAGTTTTTCATGGATATATTGCTACTTGCAATTTCTCAGCCCTCAACTCCTCTGAAGCATCAATAATTAATTTGATTGGATCTCAATCCAAGCACGTGGATCCGCATTTTAATTCTTTCTATAATTTTAAGTTTTTTTTCAACTGATCCCACTTGTTCCTCAGTTGCATCCTATCATACTCTATTCTCGTTATTTCCTTGAACTTCTTCATAATATTTTGTCACCCTTTCTTTTGTTAAAATAGGTGGTGGGTATATTTCCCATTTCAACCTCCTTAAGACAAAGATGACAAAATATGAGTTTGGCTTCCCCATCTCACGAATTTGTTGAATCAATTTCACTAGTCTTAACTATTGTGTTACTAGCACAAGAAAAATGAAACATTAATATTTGCAAAAACCACAACCCACACAGAAGCAATAAAACCATAAAACCACAACCCACACAGAAGCAATAAAACCATACAACCACAACCCACAACCCCATCCACCACAACACAACCCTAACCACACCCGCACACACAACCACATGCTCCACACACAACTACAAGCACCACAACCACCTTTACAAAAAGCCACAACTCCACACATAACCACAGCTCGCAAATGAGCGAACACAACCAGACGATCTTAACTCACAACCACGAACACCACAACACAATCCCAACCACACATTCACACATAACCACAGCCTCCACACACAACCACGAGCACTAAAAAAACCTTCACACGGAGCCATACCTCCACACACAACTACATCTCACATATGAGCCAGCACAACCAGAAAACCACAACCCACAACCACAGCTACCACAACACAATCCCAACCACACCTCCACACATAACCACAGCCTCCACACACAACCACAACCACCACAACCTCCTCCAACCATAATCAATTGTAATAACTACTTTATAAATACTTTTTTCTCATTCCTTGGAGCCTATCAAATTAAAACTTTGCCTCTTTAAAAACATACCAGACTATCAAACCCTTTTACAAGTATAACCACAACCCACAACATAGCCACCACAACCTACAACACAACCACCCAACCCACAGCCACACCACCATAACCCACAGTACAAGTAGTCCTCACCACAACACAATCACGGCGCAAAGAACTCCTCTCCACAACATCACCTAATTCACAGTAAAAGTCATCACCCCATCAGTAATAAAGGAAATCCAACACCAATGTAAAATCACATGAATTCCAAAAACCTAAATCCCATAAATTGCAAAATCCAACAACATAAGAAAAACTAGATGAAAATCAACGACCGAATAGAGCTAAAAAAAACATCGCAAAATTCTAATGTCAGAGAATAGTGGTAGAGAATACTATGGGTCGAGGCAAAGTAAAGAAGCCAAGCAGAGACGAAGAACAAAGATTAAAAAGGGAGCAAAGAAGCCAAGAAAAAGCAAGCACAACCCACAGATCAGATAGGAGGAGGCAAGTGAGGATCTTACCTTTAGGGTGACGAGAGAGAATCTCAGACGCGAGAGAAGGGAGGGAGATGCTTGATAGCTAGAGAAGGGGTAGACAGGTAAAAGATGGGTGAGAAACTAATACGAAACTCAACCCGGCTGCATTTTGTCTATTTTTTTCAAAAACACACCCGTGCAACGTTTTTCAAATGGACAAAAAAAATGTTTTTTGGAACCAAGGCGCGCAAAAAACGTTGTGTCAAACAACCCCTTAATGCCTACATTATCCGAGTTATTCATACATAGGAACATGACTCTTTACAGTAACAAGACTCCTTAACAATTTTGTACCCGCCCAATCATCAAATGAAAAATTAGTAAAATGTGGGTTCAAATTCTTTTTTTTTGCAAATTCTGCAACACGAATATTCACGTTATACCAAACTCTTTGAAGTGAATTGAGCAGGAGAATCAATTTATCGTCATTTTCTAGTTCATAATTCATATCAATCTGGCATTGCCCTATTTTTATTTAAAGCTTAAAATATTAAGATATTATTAATTAGGTTCACTAAATTTATTTTTTATAAGATAAAATGATATTTTTAAAAAAAATAATTTTATTTGCTTATTTATTTAAAAATAAATAAATAAACAATTTCGAGAGAAGATATTTGGAGTTTTAATTCATATTGATTTCTAATAACGTTTACTTAATTTTTCAAACTATATTTTCTTTTTTAAGAAACCAAAAGAGCCCAAGTTTGATTAAACTACAAGTCAACGTCATCCATCTCTATCAACCAATTAATTTCTTCTTCCTCATTACGCAGGTTTAGGTAGAGCATCTAATAACAATGTCAAGCAGATCAACTGAAGTAAGAAAATTGCTATCTAAATGTCAAGCATTGACTACCAAACAAGCAAAATCAAAGGTTTCATACCATAACTTATTTTTCGCTTAATTAAACAACATATAATTTTATTTTTCATAAACTGTGCTTAAAGCTCTTAAATTTAAACATGCATCCCTTCTAATTCCATGTAAAAATATGATTTTTTTTATTTCATCTACTTTAATAAAATTTAATATCTAAATAGTTATGCCAAAATCAACCCATGACACTAAATTTATTGTCTTGTGCATGGATTCAAGTTTTCTTCAATCAACGACTAATAAATCACTTCTTATCTTTGTCTCTTTCAGCATACAACTCTCTCTCTCTCTCTCTCTCTCTCTCTCTCTCTTCATCATTGATGCTTGGTAGGAAGCCAAACACTGTTGTTTATTAACTTCTTGAGAGGGAAGCAACTGAAGTAAAACAAATCTGCCTTCTTCACATATATTTGCTACAATTGAATCTTAACCTTTCTGCAAGTCTTCATCTTCATCAAATTTTGAATTTTCTTAAATCCCACTCAAAAACTTCTCTTAAAAAACAATTATTCCAAAAAATTTCTAGTAGTTAACAGAATCATCATTTATAGTCTCATCTAATAATTTCTCGAAGGGAGAACAAAAAGGTTCAAAACTTTCAGCAAATTTGGTGAAATTCCAACCAACATAAGTAGTAAAGACTGAAAAAATACCAAACAATTATTTAAAAAGAAAGGCCTGTCTTCTGCTTAAGGACTGCAAAGGCCATTACTTCTCTCAACTGCCAGAAGTCAGGGATTCCTTGGAGTAGCATTAAAGCCTTTTGTTCTACATCTCTCATCTTCACACACAACCAAACTTTGGTGAAAAATTCTTTCAAAATCTCACATTTCTTTTTCATGAGCTCATGTTTGCTCTTCTCCTCCATGAGATAGATAGATGATTTCTGAATGATCAAAGCTAGAGATGAGCTCAGCCACTCATAGCTCCTCCCTCTTTCTCATCTTTCTCCTCTTGATTAGCTTTCAGCTTCTTGCTTCTGCAAATGGTGATGCGGAAGCTGAGATTGAGAAGGTCTCAGGGAAAGACAAAGTGGAGGGAAGAGAGCTAAGTTTTCTCATGATTACAAAGCTTGGGATGCTTTTTAGTCTGCATGGTTCAAGCAAACACACAATAGCTCATCAGTTAGCTCCAGCCCAAGCACCAACAGAAGCAGTACTTGAGAGCTTCTCTCCTCTTCCATCCCTCCACAAGCTCCACATCTATCACATAGCACCATCCCATGGAACAGAAGAACCATTATCAGAAAGACAAAAGGTGGCACAGAGAAAGCATTTACAGATGATTATGACAATCTCTGCATCTGTCTTAGCAAGCTTAGTTATCTTTGGAGCCATGGCAATGGTGGTGCTAGTTTATAGACGGCGTGGAAGAAATGATTGCCATGGAAATACTTCTAACAAGGTGAGTTTTGATCCTGAGCCAGCCATGTTTTACTTTGACTCCTTGGCTCCATTTCTTGAGAGTGATTCAGATCACAAGCTATGTTCTGAATCCAAGAGGTGTGTTTCTGCTGAAAATAATGTTACCTTTGAAAGTGAAGGGATGACTCCACACCCATTTTTGGATTCTAAGAACCAATCAGCAGAAGCTGCAAAACAAAATTTTGAGGCTTCTTCAGATGGGAGTGAATCATTTCATTCTATATGCTGTTCTCATTGCTCCATCGAGTTGATGACTGCTTACATTCAACCAAGCTCAGATTTTTCAACAGAAAATGGTCATTTTTCTCCTCTCACATCCTCAAAATTGAATGTATTTTCAGCTCAAAGCATAGAGAAACCAGTAATGTCTACCAATTCGATTCCTTACAATACAAGAAAAATTCCACATTCTCTTGTTCCAGAAAGCTTAGACAGTAAACCATCTCTGCTCTCAAGAACACTAAAAAATGAGAATGACAAAGAACCTCTTCCTTCTCCCCAATCTCTTAATCTTGAAATGGAACCAGAAGCAAGTTGGTCTTCTTCCAGAAATACTAAAAGCTCAAATCTCAGGGTTAAAATATTCACTGAATCAAGTAATCTAGCTAATAGAACAGATCAGGCATCAGCAACTATAACAGCAGGTAAAGTAAATGCAGTAAAAAAGCTTCAAACTTTGCAAAGCATCAAAGGGCAACAGATGTCAAAACCTCCTCCACCTCCGCCGCCACCGCCACTACCGCCTTTTCCAAGGAGCAGTAACTTTGGCAAGCCTGTTCCCCCTCCTCCATTCCAACAGCAGCAAAGCTCAGCGGTTGATAAAAATGGTAATCCACTCCCAAAGCTGAAACCACTTCATTGGGACAAAGTAAGAGCTGCACCTCACCGTTCTATGGTATGGGACAACATCAGATCAAGCTCATTTGTGTAAGTAGCCATATCAATATGAAATCACATCTCAAATTTAATTATCTTTCTAAGTATTATAGGATTGAGTTATAAAATATTTTTAGGAGAGTGGATATTAAAGATCAAAATTTTGCTCAATACATCAATAGATGGGCACCCATTAATCTAATAATTTAAGGAAATGGGAAATCATTCATGTTTATCTCAGCAAATATATGCAGCTTTGGATGTACAATTTTTGTAAATTTCTGTGTAGATTGGATGAGAAAACAATCGAATCGCTTTTCGGGTACAACATGCCATGCTCGGTAAAGAATGAAGAATCAAAAAGCAAGAATTCAACTCCCAACAAACAAGTCCTTGAACACAAGAGACTTCAGAATTTCACCATTCTATTGAAAGCCCTGAATGCAACAGCAGAACAAGTCTGCAAGGCTCTGATACTAGGTGGAGTTATTGTGAAAAATGATTCCTCTTTTTATTTCATACTGTAATTTTTTTCTACATATAATTTATTCCATCGTTAGGTAGTGGATTGGGTACCCAGCAACTGGAAGCTCTTGCAAAAATGGCGCCCACAAAGGAAGAAGAAGAGAGAATAATTAAGTGTGGAGATGACACAGATGAGTTAGGATCTACAGAAAAATTTCTGAAAGACATACTCAGAATTCCATTAGCCTTCTCAAGGATTGAAGTCATGTTATACAAGGAGATATTCGAAGATGAAGTTATTCACCTGAAAAAATCATTTACAATCTTAGAGGTGACAATCTTATAACAAGCTTAGAGAAAATATTAATTTTTTTCCAAGAAATTCTGAGCAAAATCACTTTTTTACAGAGTACTAAAGGTTTTATTTTCGGTAAATTCTTCAGGAAGCCTGCAAGGAATTGAGATCAAGCAGACTCTTTTTAAGATTACTCGAAGCAGTGCTGAAAACCGGAAATCGAATGAACGTTGGGACGATACGAGGCGGTGCGAGAGCCTTCAAGCTCGATGCTTTGCTGAAACTCGAAGATGTTAAAGGAACGGATGGGAAAACCACATTGTTGCATTTTGTTGTCCAGGAAATTTATAAATCAGAAGGCCTAATTACTCATGAAAAGAGCAATGTAAAGCCTTCCACAAAAAGTGAAGCCAAGAACACGAAGGAGAAGGAAGAGGAGTGCAATGGAAGGGAACTAGAAATAGTCTCTCAATTGAATACCGAGCTCTGCAATGTGAAGAAGACAGCAACCATGGATTTAGATGTGTTGATGAGCTCGGTTTTAAATCTATCTAAAGGGATGATGAAACTGAAAGAACTGGTGGAAGGGGAGCTTTCAGGGAATAAGAGGGATGTAAGCTTTGTGAACTCAATGAGAGTGTTTCAGAAAGAAGGAGATGGGATCATTAATGAACTAAAGGAGTCTGAGGGGCAAGTTTTTCGCCATGTGAGGGAGATCACTGAGTACTATCATGGAGATGTAGGCAAGGATGAGGTGAATCCACTTAGTATTTTCGTAATTGTTAGTGATTTTCTCGGCATGTTGGATCGAATTTGCAAGGAATTAAGAAGCTCAAAGAGCCCACAGCCTTTGAATCTTGTGGCTAGAGGATGTTGAATTTGTTCAATATGACAGATTTCATATATAAATACACATGTTTTTTGCCTACTTTTTTTATGTTATGATTTTTGGGTTTTTGTTTAGTGAGAAGAATTACAGATTTGTGAAACTTTGTCTGATCATCTTCTTTTCTGCTACTAATGCTAATGTTGCTGCCTGAAATTTGAATGATGCTAAGGCTATTTCATTGCTTGTAAATCAAAAAATTGTTTTGAAATATGTTTTTTTTACTAATTTTGTATGCAAAAATGTAGTAACCAATTTGTGGAGACTTTGGAGGTGTTTTTAGAGCGTACAGCCAATGTTAATATGTAATTACAATCAATCAAATTATGCAATTCACAAAATTCTGTGTTTTCTCATAATATGATTTTGTTAATAGGCTTGAAAGCAATTGATTTTAGTTTAGATAGTTGAGTTGCTTCGTGAGTTTTATTTCACACTTCCATTGCTCTTAAATAAGACTTGTCTCAGTGTCATGGTGATGGAGAGATATATGTTTAAATAGCATGCCAGCAATATTAATAATAAAATGGCGTAGTTATGAATTCTTATGATTGTCACAACAAAAACTGTCTATTTTGATTAACTCATTCCTATTATATTGTCACAACAAACATTGCTTACTATGATTTTTTTTGTCTTTGGGTTAGACAATGATTTGCAAACACACATAAAAGAAATTCAAAAGACACCATAATTTTAATATGAAAAGCCGCAAAACAAAAAAAAAACCATCAAATCGTGCCCAATTGAACTAATTCTATATTTAAAGATTACAAAAGTATATTCTTCTCATTAATTAGCGAAGACGAATTTTTTAAATATGGATTGCTAGTTTGATCTATTGTGAATATAATGAGGAATGCTAGAGATGAAATAATGGACAACAACAATAATTAAGTGATGGATTTTAGTTGATAGATATCAATGCTGTCGACGGTTGGTGGCAATCATTATGTGTAATATAAGGTTGGAAGTGAACCAATATACTTAATGAACAACTCAAACTCAACTTTATTATCGAACGAGGTTCAATGCTTCTTGAAAATTTTAAAGCTAAATGAATCTAGCTTATACACAAACTTGCTCATTTATTTATGCTTTATAGCTCATATATTTGGTGTTTAACTAGCAACTTTTGTAATGTATGATGCTTTGATCAATGATAACTAATTTATCATTTAATTAAAATTTAATTAAATATAACTTATTTAATAATAATATATTATCAATATTTGAAAATTAAAGGATATTTACATCCATACCTCACAATTCCTATGTATACATCTCTAACCGTTCAATTTTAATTTTTACATATACAACACTCAAATCTTTCATATCACATAAGAAATTCCACCAATACTAATTTTTACAAAGTGAAATATGCCTTCTCATGCATATATTGTATATGTAAGACTTGTATAAAGACTAAAAAAGGCCAACATAATGTAAATAGCCTCACATAATGTACTAAGAAAAATTATAATTTTAATTATAATGTTAATTCTGTATACAAGTCTTCTAATGTCAATCCTTATAAAATCAAAGTTTAACATTGAATATTCTAGCAATGCATTAGTTAATTAAACTCAATTTTATGATTACGTCAGGTCATAATTAACATCCATGTTGTTTACTATTATTGGGTATTTGAGTTTTCTATTTGATTTATTTATCTTGTTAAGTCTTCTTGCTTACTAGATCAATATAACTATTTTTATAGAAAAATGATAAGATAAGGTTGAAGCCGAATAATTTATCAGGTTTAACTCTATAATTATATTTTGTTTTACGCTTATAGTAAGAGGAAGTGTTTAAGTAATATATTAAACAAGGATTATATTTTGTAGAAGAATATGAACAAGTATTTAATGGTATGTAGATATACAAATTAAATATTTTGGATTGCTTTCACTTAATTTGAATGATATAATTCTAATATATTTGTGTAAATTTGAGTAATAGGTTACATATTATTTCACCTATATTTGGTTGATTGTGTTTTTCACTCACTCTATTCTGATAAGTTGGATATCAACAAACCAAATGTATATTCAATCAACTAAATTACACCCATCTCAATTATGTCCCAAGATGATTTGGGGGGTATATGAGCTACATTCAATTAACAAAATTTTACTCACCTCTACTATATCCCATGTCATTTTAGAGAGGTCATTATGAGGTGTAGCATAACATGTCTAATCCTAACAGTGGAAAGCCATATATGGGTCTGGCCTTGAATAAGTAATTGTTTGTGGGTTCATCAAGGATTGGAATAAATTACAATATAGTTTTGGATTTGATTAGTGGTGGAATCTTTGTGGTGAGTACCATAGACTGCTTGAAAAGATTGTTAGCGAGTACTTCATGTATAATTTTCTTTTGAACAAATCATAAAGAGACTAAGTAAGGTTTCTAACCAAGGCTTAAGCTCTTGTTTGGTCCATGGCCTAAATAAATTGGCCAAGCACCACAAACTCCATAGTAAGAGGTATAAGTGTGTATTATCTGAATACTTGGTGCTAATAAGAAATGCCTCAACATGTGCTATAAAAGTTGCACAAAAATGGGTAGGTTGTTTTTAACTAAGTTTTTTTTAATTAAATTAAGTTTAAGTGATGGTCTCAAGAAAAGGTATATGCCTTTCTGTGAGTACTAAGGTGAACTCACTGGTGAGTGGCTGAGTGGGTGAGCATCATTAGGAGAGGAAACCTCACTAGTATCTCAATGAATTGCTTGATCTATTTGCTCATTCATGGGGATCCCTACAAGTTTAACCAAGTAATATTACTTCATTTTGATTGGCTTTAATTAAATCTAAAGTTTTACTTAAAAATACTTGATTTTGATACATTTTTGTTTGACTATCATGTTTTAAGTATAAATTTTTTATTGTTTGTTCATTTTTTTTCATTTTGTTAATCCTTTGTAGTGATATTTTATGAGTGCTCATTTGAAAAATTAGTGGATTCAATAATAGCAACTCTATAAAGAATATCAATTTGGCGTACAAGGTGACCATGAAAAATGAGCATTTAAGTGAGATTTCATATTTTTAATGAGATATGTTAGATTTGAGTGTTGAGTTAGCATTGCAACTAGTCAAGCATAATTATGCAAAAAAGATGTCGCATCACACCATCCATTTGGTATCTATATGTTATTATCAAAATGTAATCAAGTACTTACTATATTGTGTGAATTTTTAGTAACCACTTCCACATAATAAAATGTTGAGTTTAGTGCTAATAAGAATCTTTATCGTATTAGTTGTATTCATGCAAAATGACTAAAATTTGGCAGCGTTTGGATTGTTAATTTGTGAAAGAAGTATCCTTGAGATAGATTTTTTCAAGGATAACATAGATATAAATGATCTAATATATTATACCTTCTTGTTGACCATATTAAATCATTAATTGAAAAGAATATATATTTGGTTGGCTAATAAAATGAAGATTAACATTAATAGTGATTTAGAATATGGTTACTCAAATCAATGTGTAGTTTATAAGGTGTGAGTAGAATTATAAATTAAAATAATATTGTCATTGGTTACAAACAAGCATGAATACATCAACTAACATATGATATAAGTAAAAGTACAATTTGGAAAATCATTTAGAATGAAAAAAAGGATATTTGTACTTTTATCATATTTTCATATAGATGTGGGAATAATAGCAATAAAAAAAATATCTATATTATAATAACTCATTAATATTATAATTATCCTACTAATAAAAATTAAGTTTAAACTTGTGCAGAAGGTTAAGAAATCGATATAAATGAGGCTGTGATTTAAGTTTAAGCTAGGTAGTAACATAATTATTGTTTAGTGAAATAAAACTATATTAATTTGATGGTTGATAATCTTTTATTGGCTAGAAAAAAATCCCAAAGTATGTAGCATGTCGACTTATAAAAGTTCAAGATAAGCCCTCAAACATTATTTATGGTGGGCAAGCCTACACATAAGGAAATGCATAAAAGCCACTTGACATACTATGCTAATACCCAATGACATTCAATATACTCACTCAACAATTGCTTAATACTCATTGAGTAGATCTCCAAAATCCCAACTCCTCATTGGTTTGCTTAGTAAGGATCTTACAACTATAAACTTCTCTCTCAGTTGTTTGAAACTTGTATAAACCCTCAATAATGAGTTCTAGTTCACTTGGACATTTTAGTAAAGGCATAAAGCTCACTCAATATGCTAAAAGCTACATAGCCTCATTAAAGAATTCAAATGAACTGAACTCCTCCTTAAAATATCACTTTAGGTAAGTTTTTCCTCATCCAAATAAAGTGTTAAAGATTAATTCCAGAATTTGACCACTCATTCAAGACACTTGTTTAGTAAATGCTAAAGAATAAGATTTGACAACTTGTTAGGTTTTTGGTAGCCATTTGACAACCTTATCAAATCAACTAGACAAGTCATGAGGTTTGGCTTGTCCAAAACACCCACTCGACTTTATATCAAGGGCAATTGAGACATAAATATTTGTCCTTCCTAAATTTCATTCTAGGTGGTTTATCTTTTTAGATGATTACAATGGCTTGTTGAACTAGTGAACCTTCCCATAATAGTATGATGGGGGATGTTGGAACATCCATAATGCCTAGATTCGATCTGTCTTATTCTTCTACTATTTCCATGATAGATAAAACCAAGTAGAGAAGTCTCCATGTAGTGCATTAAATGAGGTTGTCCTTAGATGTTTAGAAAAGGGAGGGCGAGCAATTGAAGAAAGGTTAAGTTTTTGGCTTTTAATTGTAATAAAGTTGTCGAATTATGTTGTTCAATCTTCTAGGTCTTGGACTTCTTCTTCTTCTTCTTTTTCTTTTTCTTCTTCTTCTAATTCTTTCTTCCTGTCATTATTAAAATTAAAGGCTAGTGCATTTCTATGGTGGACATGGGCAATGCCATGAGTCAAACCACTTACACCTTCATAATCTTATTTTTATATGTGATACAAGTCCCTCTGTATTTATTTTTTAAAATTCAATTAATTAAGCCAAACAGGTGATCCTCACTTCGACACCCCCCTTCCTTTCCATAAGCCATCAACTTTGATGTATGCTTTGAAGGAAAACTGGGATAGTTACTTATCAAGTATACCAACTAGAAGCATTAATATATACACTAGAGCCAATAAGACATGTTTCTTTATTTGATCTTTCACACTTATATATATATATATATATATATATGCTAACATGTCGTCGTTCTTCTCTGCTAGAGTTCCACCCCATGGTGAACCATAGCATCTCGCATTGCTTTCGACTTAGGGATTTACTCGCGTCACTTCGTCTCGTGTAGACTGCTTCCATTCCCGTCATCTCGTGTTGTGTTCGCATCTCATCTAGTGGTAGTGCTGCGGTCGTCTTCGTGCTTCTGCTTGCGTCTCGTTTGTGACATAGCCATTCTACACCTGCGTCCTGCTTCTGCCTGCGTCTCGTCTGTGACAAAGCTACTCAACACCCGTCGTCTGCTCGGCTCTGCCTCTGGTGTCTGCGATAGAGCCGCTCGACACCCCTATTCATGCAACTTCTCACTGTGCTGCATGTTGGCACTGGCTGCGGTAATGGTCTCAGAGCTTTCTTACGCCGTCGCCCTCATCTGTGATAACCCTACCAAACCCTCCTATGCTATAGTGGTTCACAAATGCAGCTCACGTTTTCACATCACAGATAGCGTAGTATTCTTGCAGATTCACCATGATTCTATTGCAAGAAATGACGATTGCAATCTCATCAAAAAAGTAGAGAAAAAGACGGGCAAACCAATAATTTTATTCTCTGACGTTGAAAGTTCAACTCGTGCAGGAAAATACAAATTTACACTAGTTTAAAAGTTCCAATTAGGTTGCCCTAAGATGGAGATCATCAGGAAGGTTTTTGAAGATTTCAAACTGGTTGGGGATTGACAGGTGGGTCATTTCGACGGAAGGCATGTTATGATACAGTTGAGCACAGAAGATGATTAAACGAGAATTTTCTCAAATAAATTCATCACAAGTGAGGGCAAACATATGAAATTGCTTAAATGGACCCCTAATTTTGATCCCAATCAAGAACCCTCAATTTCACCTATCTGGTTCTCATTACCTGAACTCAAGCTTCATTTCTTTGACCTACCTATCTTATATGCAATTGGGACTATCCTTGAAAAACCTTTGCAGGTAGACTTACCTACAATTCATTGCAGGTAGACTTAAACGAGATATTACACTACCAGATATAGAAGAAGTCTAGCTTGGATATGCTTACAATGGTTATTTGCAAAAAATCATTATAGAACAAAAACCATACTACTACAAGCATTGCAAGATGTTTGGATACCCACATAAAAAATATTTCAGATTACACCCACAGTTGAGAACCAATAGTCAAAAGCAGGAGCACACTATTAGTGCACCTCATGTGCCAGAACGCGCTCTCAGCAAACTTGGTGGTAGCCAACCTGAGGAGGGAATCACCACAAGACGGAGTTGGTGTCTGCCCCTAGGATCTCTTCTCCTGACCATACTACAATGAATAATGTTAGAACTAAAAATCAGGATAGTCCCGTAGCTCCTATTCAGGAAGTATTAGGTGCAGAGGTAACAATTCACACTTCACATACACTAGAACCTATCGCGGTGGCAATGACTGCTTTTCCTCCTACTGTGGTTCTAACATCAAATCAGATCGAGGATCACATGAGCCAGTCTTCAGATAAAGAATGACAGGTTTACATCTCTCGGTGGAAAAAGATGGCTGGGGGCACGCTCCAACTTTGAAACTTAATGGATGATACTTGGTGACTCAAGGCAATGACACGACTCTTCAAAGTTTGTTATCTGGTTCGGCTCCTAAAAATAGAGGAAGAGGCATGACTAAACTGTCTCGTCCCTAGCTACTTGTTTTCTGCATGTTTTAAACTTATCTTACATTTTATTGAGTCTATTTGTATCTTTTTATTGGGTATTACTGTACTTGTATCGTATGAGTAGGGTGCCTCTTTTAGGCTCTTCTCATACAACATTTATGTATCCTTTTTTATTTCAGTAAAATCAGCCCTTGGTATATATATATATATGATCATCCTAACTCTGGTGAATTTTGTAGCCATTTCTAGGAGCTATGATTTTATATTTTATAGTAACTACATATACTTCTTCATTATGGCATCACAATTATCATTGTACCTAAGCTATGAATCTCTCGTAATCTTATCAATATCTATCATCAATTATGTGATGATATCAATAAAAATAATAATTGCTCCATTAATTATGGCCTGACACTTCTTTATTTACCTTCTAAAGGATAAGATTCTTCTACCATAGACTCAATCAAATTCTCATTTACAAGATCTCCGAGGGAATACATAGGTCTTGGATACATAAAAATAATTGATCAAACATATCATAAAATGTAAGGAATAAATATGTAAAGTGTTAAAACACTTTAATGTAAAACACATAGAAGCCAATTCAAGTCTATACAAAATTATTAAGAGCGTAGTCATCATACTATATAAAATTATTAAGAGTGTAGTCATCATAATAAATCTTTTATCTTAAATCAAAATCCGTTGACCTAACTATTAACCTGATACCATTATCGTGATGATTCAGTTTAAGAGCTCAGAGTACCAAGGAAAGGATGGATGATCCTAATGAAAGGTTGGAGTATTTTTAAAAACAAGTCTTTAAATTTCATAAATGAGCTACCATGATAATTTATCTTTGTGCATATACTCAAATATGTAAACATATAACTTAATATAATAGGTTTTATATGTAATCAACCTCTTAACACATAACTAATGATTAGTATACAACAACATGATGTGCATATATACCAATTAAATGATGCTTCACATAGATAGCATGAAAATCCTCTATGTAGCTCATTTATTACATCAAAGAGTTTTCTTAAATTTTGTCATAAGCTAGGAGTGAGTCATATAAGCATCATATTGTGTACATTACAATTTTAAATAACCATAAAATAATGGAAAATAAAATAAAAAGCATGTTATAATATTTATTTAATATAAAAACTAATTTTCATAAAAAAATAATGAAGATTGATTGTAATAGCTATCATAACATATAATGTGATAAGCAAATCGTATCATTTGAACATTTTCTTCGTTATAGATAATATAACAAAGTAACATAAAATTTGAATATCAAAATAACCACACCTTCCATTTTGAGGGTCTAATGATAATAATCAATCCCAACTTGATAATTTATTACTTCATATTTCTCTATCGAGTAAGCAAAACGTAAATTCAATTTAATTATGTTCAAGGTTGATATAATACCAAACACAACACGATTTTATTAACAAAAGTGAGGCAAAACTTGTAAACAACATATATGTTCATAATCTTTAGTGGTAGCAATGTTAAAAGTAATGGGCGTAAGATTTTGGCTCCTTGGCATACTTATTAGGGGCTTATTATATCACCTCATATGTACGATCAACTTTCTCATAATTCAACCTATTTGAAATTATCATAATAATCATAAAAATTTTTCATATAATTTTCTTATATCTAATGAAACAAAATTTATATAGCTATATAAATGTTTGGAATTACTATTAAAAACATCAATAAATAACTCATTCAAAAAACACAATCAAGTAAGATGCATTTTCATCGATTATTTTCTTCGTTCGCCGGGTTGTATATATATGTATGTATATATGTGTATGTCTGTGTACACACATACCCACACGAGCATTTACACGTTAATGAACATTTACATCATATCACACTGTAAGTAAAAAAATGTGTGCAAATCTATAAATAGGATGATGTTTTTTATGTAAGAGAACTCATGTTAATTGAGCTTTCTAGCCATTTAGATATCATACTCCTCTTTTCTTGCAACAATTTGTTTAAATATATAAAATGGGTTCGAGAACCCGATGCATAATTCCACTTTACCGCAATCGCTGTATCACTCATTCTTTTCTTTCTCTCTCTTTCAATTTCTAAGATTTATTTCTTCGATATGATCTACACGATAAAATTTGATTCAACACATAATTCTCATGAAAATACTCATTGTTTATATTTAATAGATGGCCGAAGATACTCTTTATTTTTAGAATGACTTGAGAAACATACCAAATAATCCAAATAACCCATGAAATTAAAACACAGCGAGTAAAATGCATTTTGCCATTTTGAACTACTTTTCTCGTGGTAAGGTGTAGCCGATTTCAGGACGATCGAGTGACGGGCGTCCCCGCTGCTTGCCCGGAGAGACTGCACGTCAATGGCGGTCCCCCGGCTGTTCAAATTTCACGCCAAGCCGAGCGCCCCACTACGTGTGGCTGCGGGGGCAACCTTCGTTGCCCTCATTTGGCACACAAGCCCTAGCGTCCTAAACGGCGAGTCTACGCTCTCCTCGTCTGGCGAGACGATCCTTTGGGCTATCGATGGTGTTGCCCGAGCATCTCGTGCTGTCTATGCCGTATGATCGTCTCTTATGATGTTCATTTTTTTCCATTTATGCACTGCGTTCTGTTAATCTCTCCACTCATGTTGATCTTTTCAGATAAGTTCCATTGTGGTTGATTATAAGTATTCTCTCTGGGGATTGCCTCTTGGTTCAAGTGATTACAGATCTAAGTTGCCTGAGGTATACTGGCATACTGCGTTGGACATGCTTATTGGGTGCCTAAACTTCTCCTTGATGTTATCGGGAAATGCATTTATTGCCGTCTTTCTTAGATGCCTAATCTTTGTCTGTTATTCTTCAATGATTAATAAAAGTGATTATATATTGGAGTGATTTAGTATAGTTGGTAAAAATAAAGTTTAGATGCCTGGCATTTATTCATCATTAACCGTTCACCTAAAGAAACATGCATTTATTGCCTTCTTTCTTTATTTCTTTTTCTTGCAACTTTATGTCAACTAACATTCCCACTCCATTGTATGCTTTCCAACTTACAGTTGCAAAAACGCTGTTTTAATGTGGCCATGTGATTTTTATTCGTCACTTAATCCATGTATCCACAAATGATTTATTCTTTCCATTCAAACCACCAAAATTTAAGAATCAAATTCATCTAACATGTAGACACAACTACTCTTTCCACTTTCACCAAAACCAAAAATTTAGTGAATTTGTTGCACGTAACTTACTAATGCCATCTTAGACAATCTTGCAAATTTTCTCCATATGCGGGCTATGCTGTGGGACTGCTTTTTTGGAATTTTATAGCACTCACTATGATAACAGAATTATTATGAAAAGAAGGTGAAGAGAAACACAACACAACCCCTACTAATTTTATAGAAGCCATAAATTGGAAATACAACAAACTGAAAGCAAATAACAAAGGGTGCAAGTGGTGCGAGTTAGGGTTTAGGACTTCGGTGTGGTGGCAAGGAGGTGACTAGCAAGATGAAAACAACAAGACCGTTTTTTCCAGGAGTCCGGACAAGCAAACAACAAAAATAACTGCGAGAGGGCTGTTTGAGGCAGCAACAAAAAGGACGTGGGCCATAACAACCGTGGGGATGGTGGTTCGGGGTGACAACAGTAAGGAGTAGGTGCAGCCATAAGATGGCTGTTCTTGGCAGAGGCAACAAGAAAAATAAAGAAGGGGATGTGGGAACGGCACAAGAAAGAATGAGGGAAAGGTATATGAAGGGTACACACCACTTGAAGATCAAGATACAGTCAACACATCACTTGAAACCCTAGGATACAACTTGTAGAAGGAAAGAGACGCCGACTACTGTCTCAAATTATATCAAAGCAATACTAAACCTTATATATCAACAAAAGAAAGTATATATTCCTAGATAGCTACGAGTGGGCCCCCTCTTAAAAAGAAGCGGCACTTCCAAAACAAGAGACCCTCAATAACTCTGGACTGAATCTATCCAGGTAAAAGACGGTCTGCGTCCGCCTTTTGGGGTTGAAAGATTTTCTACCTCATACGTCAAAGCTTCTATCTTTTCTTAGTTTGAAGTTTGGTTAGTCACGTTGAATGTAACATAAATGTTGTAATCTTTTTGTAAGTTAATCCTATAGGCATTACTATTTAGCTACTTGAGCATCCTGAAAGGTCCATGTGTTCTGGTTTGAGTTTCCTAATAGATCTCATCACAAATCTTTCTTTCTTCAATCTGATCCACACTAGGTCTCCCTCCTGAGAAGTACTTTCTTTCTGGTTTTATTAGCTTGCTCTTGGTACTTTTTGTTCTTCTTGGTGATTTCTCTCTACCTCCTCATGTAGCATCTGAACTTCCGTACTCTAGCATCAAAATCCCCACTAACCTCTATAGCGGAATAAATAATACTATCTCAAGTGGGGTAAGTGGGTTGTGCCTATACACAATCTTAAAGAGAGTATGTCCTATAGTTTGACTCACAAACTTATTGTAAGCAACTTTAGCTCGGGCTAGAATCAAATCCCACTCCTTGATGATCTACCCCATAAATCATCTCAGAAGATTCCCCAAAATCTTGTTCACCACTTCTATTTGGCCATTTGCCTGTGGCTGAGTTGCTGAGTCAAACTGAAACTTAGTACCAAGATTTCCTCATAATATCCTCAAAAGTGACCCGGAAAATTGACATCCCTATTGAAAGTAACGGTAATTGGTATCTCATGCAGTCTCACTTTCTCCCTGAAATACAAGTCAGCTACATGTAATGCATCCATTGTCTAGTGATAATGTACAAATGGGGATATCTTTGATAACCTGTTAACCACTGGTATCACTGAATCCTTATTCCGCCGTGCGTTAGGAAGACCCACAATAAAATTCATACTAACATCCAACCATGAAGCCTCTGGTACTTGTAAGGGTGTGTATAGCCCTGTATTCTGCCCCTAGTTTTTGCCAGTGTTCCTAGCACTAGCAACCTTTATCCATTGAAACTTCTCTCCTTTCAAGAGCTCTGCTAGGGGAGCTATAATATTGCTGAAGCTTCTGACGAATCTCCTATAAAAGGATGCTATCCCCAAAAACCGCCTCACCTCTGTAAAGGATTGTGGGGATGTCTAACTCACAATAACCTCTACTCCTTATGGTCCATCTGAATGCTTGCATTGAATATAATATAACCCAAAAAATATACTTGTGTTATGAGGTGACACTTCTTTCGGATGGGCATATAACTTCTCTAACCGAAGAACCTTAAAAACCATCCTCAGATGGTGCAAGTGCTCGTCCTTAGATCTACTGTAGGCTGAGGTGTCATCAAAATGCATAACTATGAACTTTCCAATGTAAGCTCTAACCACCTGATTTATCAGTCTCATGAAAGTGCTTGGTGTATTGGACAATCTAATTAGCATGGCTATCCACTCATGCAACCCATCTCTAGTTTTGAAGTAATTCTTCCATTCATCCTTTGGTGTTATCTTTATCTGGTGATATCCACTATGTAGATCAATCTTGGAAAAGGTGATAGCTCTATGCATTGATCTAGTAAATCATCTAGGTGAGGTATAAAAATTTATACATGATGGTGATTTTATTGATAGCTCGATTATTAATACTCATTCCTCCATGAACCATTCTTTCTTAGGTACCATCAAAACAAGAACATCACATGGATCGATGCTCTCCCTCACCAATCCTCTAACAATAAGGTCCTATACATGCCGTTGCAATTTCTCATACTTAACTGGTATCAATCTTTAAGAAAGCCTGTTAGATAACACTGATCAAGGGATAAGGTTTATAACATGCCGAATGCCTCTAAGTGGTGGTGGTTCCTTGGGTAAATTGTCAGTAATCACATCTTGAAATCAGCTAGTAGTGGCTGTATCATCTCTAGTAACCCAGTCTCCTCTCCAGTTTAGGATGACTAAAACCATTGCCGCTGCCCCCCACCCCGCCATCCTTCCCTCCCCCAACTCAGTCTTGAACACATCATGCTTAGTTCTGTGATCAAACAGTCATAATCTCCCCAAAAGAAAATGACAGGCATCCATGGGCACAACATCACATCATACCTGATCCTACAACTGGTTCTCATTAGATAATTCTACCAAACATCAGTGATCCACGCGTATCTTATTCCTCTTCTTCAATTATTTCAAAGAATAGGGTTGACAATGCTTATGAGTAGCTAAGCCCAACTTCTTCACTAAAAGGGTAGAGATCACATCTTCACAACTCCCTCCATCAATAATAAGCCTGCAAACCTTACCTCTCACAGTACACTTAGTGTGAACGATGCTATCTCAACCAAGAGTGACCCCTCTTTGGTTCAGTTTACATAGCCCTCCTCATAACTAACATCTCACCTTTGTCTCCATGGAGTAGATACTCCTCACCCTACTATTCTTTTACCTCGCCCTCACTCTCTCCATTGCACTCTGCTTGGCGAAGGAAATAACTCTACTAGGCAATGTGTCCATATCCATGACAAGTAAGTATTTTATGGTTGAAACTGTACTGGGTGTGCTACTCTTCTCAGGCTTCTTCCCAATTTGATCAGGTCGTCATCTCTCTGACCAGTCTTCAATTCTCCCCCATATGTGCTCCTACTAATACCTCTAGTTGTGGCTGGCTGGCTGAATAGAAGTGGGTGCCTGCTCTGCCTTTGTTATCTGTCCACCTTCAGTGACATTGTCTGATCATCGCCCAACGACCACGAAGGCTATAGCTGAACAACACATCAGATGGTTGGCTTTAAATCTTCCAAATATCTTGCTATAGCATGCTCTTCTAGCTCTGTCCGCTTATGTTTTAGCATGAGCTGCTCAAACTCTACTGTGAACTCCACCTCTGATAACTCTCTCTGTTATAGATGATGGAACTTCAAGAACATGTCCTGACAATAATGTGGGGGTAACTACTTTCTTCGTATCACCTTTTTTATCTTTTCCCATGTGATGAACTTGCTCCTACCTTCTATCTGTCTCCCTCTCTTCAGGTTGTCCCACCACAAAGATGCACTCTTCTTCAATTTTATAGTAGCAAGTTTCACTCTTCTATCAAGTGATATTTACTTATACTAAAACATCCCCTCAAGAGGTTGTAATCACTAAATGAAGTCATTGAGATTTTTTCTTCTCTCGAAATCTGATAAGTACATGTCCTCCAAAAGTTAATCCATCCCTTGGTCTCCTCTGATACTGAATCCCAAAGCACAGTGATCAATCCTCCTCTTCGCTAGAATCATTCCTATAGAAGGGATTCAGATTTTCCTCCCTCTCTCTTTGAATCTCACTATCACGATCGATAGTGATCACTTCATGTGCCTCTTCCTCAACTTCAGTAAGGGTGCTTTTGTTTCGGCTGTGGCTGTATGAAATCTCAGTTCAAAAGCTGCTGTGGAAAATTTGCTGTTTTAAAAGTGGTGTTTCAGTAATAGTCGTTTTATTTGAAAAATTCAGTTTTGAAAGTGCTGTCTGTAGATAAATGTCTGAAATACCCTTTTGCTCTTATTATATTGAATTCATTATTTTGTTAGATGTATGTAATTCTCATATTTAATTGTATTATATTAAACACACATAAATATAAACATCAACTCAAAGTTAAATTATAAAATCAAGATGGGGCTAAATTTTATTAACTTGGTATAAATGTAAAAAAAAACAAAGTTTGTGTTTGTTATGTAAATAAATAGGGATTGGTTGGTAACTGTTCAACTAAAATTAA